TTCTCCTTTCCCCTTCGCTTACGCTAACGTTCTCTTGTTCTGACAGTTTTTTACTTCAGGTGTTCGCTTCCGCACATTATCGCTGCATCTCTGCATGCTGTCGATATTCGAATGAAGCACTGCATAGACCACCAGCGGCAGCTCCTTCATTGTGCATCGGTCAAGCGCATACAAGTACGAATTGACTTTGCCAAACACCTGCTTTTCATGCAAGCTTGCTCCGCGACGCACGAGATAGAAGATCTTTCCTTTAATAGGATCTCATATTAGAATCACACATGAATAGCATCTAAGGCTTAGAATTTCTTAGTCTTCAGTTAGATAGGTCATCTGAAATCCTATTTCAGTTCTTTTCCGGATATGCCCATTGAACGAACACCTTAATAACCCCTGAATGGTAACTCCCTTCAAGCTGAGATCGCGAAACGCACTCTTACTAGGTATTGCAGTAACTCAATGACTTTGATGAAGAAGACTGTATGACGCTGCATGACGATCAAACGCATGAAGGAATTTTATAGCGCTTTACTATGTAGTGTACTGTGTCCGAGCTGAAGGGAATTTCATATTGGCTGTAAACCATCTTGGCATACATTTTTACGAGTACTGTTAGCGCGCTAGCTGAATTATTTAGAGAGGAACAGAAGGAGCAAGCCTGGAGTATAGAGAAAACGCAAGCGTAATTGGCGGCGCAGAAACACTTATAATACAACCTAAGGCGCAGAATATATGGGAGTACGACCACTTCTGGATAATATTTGAAGCGAAAATTTTGAATCGACCGTTTCGACTGCAAAAGTTCAACTAATAGTAGCTTTACAGGAGAGGCATGCCATTTGATAAGCCTGGTGCTGCGCAAAAAAAATGATGAGTCACACTAATCGATGTACTGCAAGCATGACTAGAAAGTGTGAGGGCCACGCAAGAAGCCAGCGGAAAGGAAACTTCAAAGAACCATGGATCATTGTACAACTGCAGAATGTTCGTTTGAGCGCTAATGCCTCGCAAAAAAAACTAATGTCAAAGTTTATGAAAAATATCAATGGAAGGTGTTAAAACGGCAAATATCTTAAAATGGCGTACAAGATAAAAACCCATAGACATAGCGGGCATAATCATAAGCATGGCGAAGCGAGGCAACGAGACGGTTAACAGAAAATCTACTTACGCTACTGATTTTGAGTAGGAAGAAAATCAATAACATCGATATGCGATACGCATCGCAGCAAATACTCTGCAAATTCTGCAACGCTACAGATCACAGAGCAGTCAGCTACAAGGCTTATGATACCATAGGAAAAAGGCGCAAGCTGACAAAAGTCGCCATGACTCAGTTGTAGACGGAGGAAATCTACGTTAGAGACTGTTTGGTGAAGGGCGCAGCAATTGTCAAGGAAAAAAGCACCATTACACGCTCTGCGCAAAACGGTTTACATGGAAAAACAACCGACGACAAGGCAGCAGAACGAAGGACGACCATGCGGCAACAGCTTCAACCCACACCAAGGCTAGGTACATCTTTGAAATTGAAAAAGGTACTTGGTTGCCCCTGAGGTAAACATACTCAAGGTATTCGCAGCATTAAGGTGAAAATCGCATCTATGTATTACGTCGCAAGGTGATACTTCGATGCCAGCCGTCGTGCATTGGCGCTCTATAAAATCGGTCATGGCGTGTTTGCGGTGAAAGAATCTCCGAGATGTGAATCTTGTCACTTTGGGTAATGCTGTGTGATTGCTTCTCTGCAGTTTGCCAT